AACCTCCGAATGTGGCTTCACAACGTCTCATTGGGTCCCTGCTTTACATTTAGTAAGTGATTGCTTGGCTTTCGGTAGGTTCGAGCTCCTATGAAATGCAAGACGAATGAGATGGAGAGTTCCCAGAAAGAGAAAATGGATGCATGAGTCAGCCTATTGAACCATGCTAAGGTTGAGCCCTTTAATGTGATGACAAAGGCTCGACAACGCAAGGAGTCTTGATATCCATGTAGCTCCATTTGATTTTTATAGGTGTTAAGGTGGTCTATGGAATCCTTCGTTCCATCGAATGTCTCTATCTAAGGCATTCTGAACTTAGATGGGAGAGAAAAATGTAGCACCTCTGTAGTAAAGGGAGATTCTGTTTGTTATACCACAGCGTCCATAGTCACTGGGGTTTTGCCCTTTACAGCCTCCTTCATGTGGCTGACCTCTTATTGAATTTCCTTGAGCGTTGCTCCCAATATTGTTCCTTTCTGTTCTGCTGAAGTGGGGGAAATTCATTCTTGTAAGTTCCCCTGTTTAGACTCTGTACTTCCTCGTTGTCCTCGTTCCTCTAAGCTCGACGATGGGCATTGCCCACTGTCTGGCTACGCTCATCCCCCTCAGTGATGTCTCTTAGAGGGTTGAGGTGTTGTTGTTCCCCTTGTGAGGGACCGTCTTGGGCTGGTTATGCCCTTTGGGGACGTTGGAAGAGGCTCAGCAACTCTTCATTCTGTTGGAGGAGGCATTGGTTGGCTAGGCGAAAGGCCTCAAATTCGTTGTTCGGAGGGAGATTCAGCATGGGAGGATCGATCTTCAGATTAGACAAGAAATCATGTGAATTTTTCTGCTATCTTTCAGTGGCAGCTTCTTGTTGGTTCTGTAATTGTAGGGGATTCATCTGACTTTTTCTCATATTGCACATAGAAACCATCAATTACTAAAAAACATAAGTAGAATTTTAACAGGAACAGTTGTCCCCACAGACGACGCCAACTAATGATGAGTCTAGCGCAATGAAGTAGAAGTGGAGAATTAGTGAGCACTAAGTGATTCAATCTGAGCTTCTAGGCTCTTGAGAATTGGACCAAGGAAAAGGGATTAACATACAGAGGTTTATAATGGTTCCCCAACTTAGGAGCTCGACTAATCCACTCTCAAGGTAGTCTCTTAATCCTGAAAAATATATTGATAAAGGGGAATTTACATAGAGTATTGAGTTAGACTATAATTACTTGTTGTATTACTGGGGTTATGCCCCTTATTTATAGTTGGCCCTGAGCTTCGCTTGATCCTTGGTGTGATCTTTGCTTCTCCTTGTAACGGTTGCTACTATCCCGCAACAATAGTGAAGAGTGTTGGAGCAGTTGTGATTCTTATACTTGGATAAGCGACCATTACTATCGAAGTGGTGTCTGGTGGAGGCCAATTGTCTCATATGTTGCTCTCCTTGAGAGGCAGAAGCAGGAGCTCGAGGTTTGCACTTGATATCTATGGGCGACTAAAGTGAACTGAGCTCCCGACCTAAGAGAGTACGACTCGAATTTACGAGCTTAATCTTAGGCATATTCAAGGTACCAACAACTGAGAACGAGTGGATGGTGGTCTTACATAAATCTGTGAAATGTCTCTTTAGGATTACCGACCATGTTTGCAAATGTACAACATGTCCATACCTTTGTGGGTCAGTCCTGATTTGACTAAATGGCTGGTTGTTGAAATGTTAACTTCTTCACTTTTTATTCTCTAAGTGTTTGTAAATTATCTAAATGTACAAAATGTCCATACCTTTGTGTGGGTCAGTCCTGATTGACTAAATGGCTGGTTGTTGAAATGTTAACTTCTTCACTTGTTAGAGTAATACTTCGTTGACTTAAAAAATTAAATTTAATAATTACAATAATTGATTTTATTGTGATCTCAACATTTATTATGACTCATTACCTATTCAATAGTTATAATTATCTAATCTAATTTTTAAGTCGATATAATATTACTCCATTTTTTATTCTCAAAGTCCAGTTACACGCCAGAAAATTCAAATTCTCTCCGATATATATTTTATCTTTTATTGTACTAAAAAAGTGTTTACCACATATTGTCAAATAACTTACTTATGTGTAATATGTTTCGCTTAAATTCATAGTAGGTGATATAAGAAGAAAAAAAAGAAAGAAAAAAATGTATCGTAATTGTCAAATTCTTGGTTATCATAATCAGTAAAGTAGTTATCACAATCAATTCATTAAAGTGATTTCATAACCTATTGGCGTTATTTAACATTGATAAACGACCATATGCCCCATAGATTCTTTTTTCACGTAAACTTCACGATGGTCCATGACATTTTTCATTGGCAAAGACTTAAAAAGGTTGAATTATCGAATTGGCTATTTTATTGTATACCCTTAATGTCACTTGAGAGAATCACACTCTCCAATAATGCAGCTAGAACTCTAGACTGCGTGCCTAAGACCGTTGAAGAATTAAAACTAGAACAATTAGAACTAACACCCATATAGAAGAAGAATACAAAAACTTTTATTTCATAATACTTTTCTTTTCTATTCTCTATAAAGATACACACAATGACTCAAAATACTTCTAGAATTTATAGGACACTCTTATCATGTATCTAGACAAGTAGATTCATGAATGACCCTTAGAATCTATACATGTATATTAATGACGTACATTTATGTACCAAACCATTTTTTAACTTAAAAAAAAACTCTTGAGCTGCACTCATGTACCACACCATGTACATGAACCATGTGTGAATAAACTAATAAAATTAGCACAACTTTCAACAATCTCCGCACCTTATTTCCATTTCGTTCGAAATTATTGAGTTCTTAAACTTTATGACGTGTGTCAATTAAGTCTCACCATCCTAATTTGCCAGCAATTGCAATGTCAACATGTCACGCCAATGTCACGTATCCAAGTTAGGGCATAATTCAAATCATATTAATATTCAAGTTCAATTATGTGCAAAATAAACTAATAGATATAATTGAGGGGCTCAAATATTCAAAATTGCTAATCCAATCCACACAATTTGAAGACACATACTACAATTTTAGAGCTAATTTTAGTAATGCGCAAATCTCAATTTGCACCCATAGTGATGGAAAAAGTAACGGAATCTAACACAAGAGTTACATTGCAACACTTTTGATATATTGAGAGTGTAATGTAGAAAAATTTATCTTTCACTACAAGAATAAGGGTTTTTTGTGACTAATATTTTACGGCGACTATGTTCGCCAAGATAAAAGGCGTGTTTTATACAATTTTTTGTGGCGGTTGTGTTTGTCGTCACAACAAACATGTTTGTATTAATATTTTGTTAATATTTGTGGCAGCTATTTTTCTTGCTACAAATAATATTTCATAAGAATTTTTTATATTTATGACAACTATTTTTCCTGTCGTATATAATATTTCATAAAACATTAAAATGTTGTTTTAGATTAAAAACAATTTATAATTTAAAGAAGAAAAACTCTAAAAAAATTTATATTGGCCACAACTATTTTTCATATTACAAGTAATACTTTATAAAATTACGTAATTTTACATCAAAAGACAATTTCTAGTTCAAAGAAAAAAAACAATTAAATTCTACAAAGTCAATTTTTTATATCAAAACTAAAAGTGTCAAAATATGACACGATCCGTTAATACGACATAAAATTAGTGAGTTTGAGTCTTCCTTAAGCTATTTGTTTAGCAAATGAGTGGATCCAGCACAGTACGATAAACGAATCAGGTATTAATAAAACTAATTGTAAGAAATATATACGATATGATTCATTTATATACCACTTACATAATTGGACAAGTCATTCAGAAAAATATTGTATGGTCCTCTGTTGGTGTATATTCTAATTTCTTTTAATTCTTTATATATATATATATATATATAGATATCATTTCAGTATAATAATAATAATTTTATGTTTTTTTCACAAGTCACTGAGAGAGTAGATGGTTCGGAAAGAATATTTAATTTTTTGCATTAATTTCTTGTACTTATGGACCGTTGTGTTTTGTGAAAATGTATATTTTACATTTTGTTTAACTCATGAGATTTTTTTTTTTATATATATGAAAATATTGCTATGTTTTTTGAAATGTTTGTCATATTTATCTTTGTATTTATCTATATATTGAATTGGGTAATTATGCGGATACCAATAGATCTTTGGTTCAATAATACTTCTTACCTTGTGAAAGTTTTGTCTTCTTGAGGTCAAGAGTTCAAATCCCCCTCCTCACTCTAAAAAAAATAGGGTATATAACATTAGTTACTAACGGTCCATAATAATTAAAAAAAAAAAAAAAATTGTGGCGGCATCGTTGCTGTCGTAAATATTTTTCATTTAACGTAGAAAAAATTTCATACTTTTTGTAACAGTATATTAACTGCCACAACAAAATCTTTTATTTTTTACGACAGTCAAACATGGTATTTGAGGTAGCACTTTTACCATCGTAATAAAAGTAAAAGTGTCAGATGTTTTGTGACAACTTATTTAAGATAGATTCTTGATGCCGCAAATACTATTTGAGACAGACCGTTGCTGCCGTAAAAACCTTTTGAAACTACACTTATTATGGTGAGACAATGCCGCTACAAAAAATATTTGTGACTAAATATTAAAATTTTTTTATAACAGCACTTTACCGCGTAAAAACTTTTCCTTGTAGTGTTTAAAGCTAAAAAGTGAAAATCATTAAATCTTTCCGGGTACAGGGTGCAATTCCCCCTTTAGTAAGTATTAAGCTCTTAATTGGGGCAGCTGATGCCAATGTTATAGTTTTCCTCAAAAATTGGTGGCAGATTTGGACAACAGAAATTAATCGAAATACAACCAGGAACTTAATCAGTTAGTTGATGGACGAAATAGAAATCAAGTGCAATGGCGTGAAACAAAATTACCAATATCTAGGCTGCTAATACCTTTTCTTTGACCCCACAAAGCCAAGTTGTGGCCTATATAATGAGTCCTCTCCTGCCATCTTTAGATCATTAAATCATTAGAGAAATAATACATAGCTAGCAAACTTTGTGTACATGGATAAACCTTCTGTCTTAGCACTTTTAGCTGTTCATGTTCTAGTCATATCTCTAAAGGTGGTGCATGGTGCTACAATATCTCTATGTACCCAAACCACATATCCAGAACTCTGCAATTCCTTCATCAAAAATAAACCTCAAGCAAGCTTAGATGAAACCATTTTCAGTATGCGTGACACTGCCCTAAGGGCCACCATGGATAACGCTGTACAAGCTCACAAGCTCGTATCAGTCATGGACGTGAGCTTGTTCAACGAGCAAGGCAAGTCAGCTTGGGCTGATTGTTTGGAGCTTTATGAGGACACCATTGACAAGCTCAACAGTTCTATCACCTCTATCAATAATCGAACCACCATGGCTGATTCTCAAACTTGGTTAAGTGCTGCAATTGCCAATGAACAAACATGTCGAAACGGGTTTATTGATTTTGACTTGTGTTCTTATTTGCAGTCCTTTCCCATCATGCTAAGTGACTTCAACATGTTCCTTAGCAATTCACTTGCACTCAATAAGGCCATGGCTTCACGATCAACTGCAATTTCTAGTAAAAAGGTCCGAGGCTGACGCTTATTATCCGGGGGCTTCCCTGGATGGGTTTCAGCTGCTGACCGGAAGCTTCTTCAAGGGGCCGGAGCATCGATTAATGCCGACGTTGTGGTGTCACAAGATGGTTCAGGTGATTACAAGACCATATCCGAAGCTGTGGCTGCATCAAGGAGTGGAAGTAAGAGATTTGTTATATATGTCAAAAAGGGAGTCTACAAGGAAAATGTTGAGATTAAGAAAACAATGAAAAATTTGATGTTTATTGGAGATGGGATTGGTGCTACCATTGTTACTGGCAATAAGTATAACAATCTTCAAGATGGCACCAGCACTTTTCGCTCTGCAACTTTTGGTGAGTTACACGAATAATGTTATTTAAACTTTAAAATTTGACTTAATTTGTTAATCTAATGATATAATTTTATTGTATCTATTAAATTAATACTAAGTTTTAATATTTGATGAGACTAATAGTTAACCCAATGGTTATAAAGAACTAACAGCATGTTTGGTCTGAAGGAAAATGAGGTGGACGGAAAATGGGGGAAGGAAAATGGGGTGGATGGAAAAGCATTCCATTGTTTGGTATTAAAGGAAAGAATAATGGAAAGGAAAATTGGAGGAGGACTTTTCCCTCCGGTCCACAATTTGCTTTCCCCCAAAAAATGGGAGCAAAATGAGAAAAAGGCAAAATAATTTGACTTTTAAATAATTTGGCTTAATTGTCACATGTTGTTTGGGTTTTAAATTTGATCTTAAAATTTGATCAATGTAACGTTACTCTAATACTATTAGACCACGTCATCTTCACATCATTAGTTTAAGAAATTATGTTAATTTTTTAGGTTCCAATAATATTGTTCTTCCCTAGTATTGTTGGGATTTAACACGATTTAAATCCACTAACAAACACACACAATCGAAGAACAAATCAAGAATATAAAGCAATAAGAAACAAGAAAGAATAAGACACAGATTTTACGTGGTTCGGCAATTTGCCTACGTCCACGAAACTGCAGGGATTTCACTATTGAGAGAGTTGAATACAGAGAGCGGCTGTACAATCCACGATTAACCCTAATCACCAAAACAACAGGGTTTATATGTCCTACGCACTGGGCTGTATAACGGGCCCAAAAAATTTTTCCTCGGGGGCGTTGCCCCCGAACCCCCACGAAGCTTGTCCATGAGCGCTACGGCTTGGGCCTATCGGCCCAAGCCTTTGTTCCATGGACTAAGCCTCAGAAAATTTTTCATTAAAAACCACACAACATTATTTCGGGTCGGGTCATCATCCGAATCACATATACAAACTAGACTCCATAAAAATAAACCAACAAGTATAGTATGAAATAGTTCTTTCGCTACTAATCAAAAAATTAAATAATGTGCCACTGATATATTGATATTGTTTGACTATATTAATAAATAGGTTATAGTAGTGGAATGATAATTATCTCATTACTCACACAGCCTTTTCTGCTATCAGCTGTTTCCGGCAATGGCTTCATCGCCCGGGACATGACGTTCAAAAACACGGCCGGACCTCAGAAACACCAAGCAGTTGCTCTTCGCTCCAGTTCGGATTTCTCGATTTTCTACAGCTGCAGGTTCATAGGCTACCAAGACACCTTATATGTCCATTCCCAACGCCAATTCTATCGCAACTGTGACATCTGTGGCACTGAAGACTTCATTTGTGGCGATGCTGTCATGGTTCTTCAAAACTGTAACATATACGTAAGAAGGCCAATGAGTAATCAGAAGAACACAGTCACAGCTCAAGCAAGAAGTGATCCCAATGAGAACACAGGGATTGTTATACATAATTCAGTTGTTACCGCGGCCTCGGATTTGAAACCAGAGCAGGAATCGTTTAAAACCTATCTTGGCCGGCCATGGGGGCAGTACTCCAGGACTGTGATCATGAAGACTTCTCTGGACAGCTTGATTGACCCTGAAGGGTGGTGTCCATGGGACGGCGACTTTGCTTTGAAAACTCTATACTATGGTGAGTACATGAATACAGGACTTGGAGCGATGACAAGTGCTAGGGTTAAGTGGCCGGGATATAACATTATAACAAGTGGGACAGAGGCCGAAAAATTCTCTGTTGGGAGTTTCTTGGCCGGAGATGCATGGATTCCGGCCACCGAAGTGCCATTCACTTCTGGCCTGTGATATGAAGCTGAACCTTCTTTCTTGACAATGTGGATAGTGTGGGGTGTGTCTACTTTAGTCAGGAAAGTGACTTGCATGTGATATAATTGTCAATAGTTTGTTTTTGCTTCTTGTTGTATAGATTGGAATCCTACGGATGCCTTTTATTTTACGAATAATGCGATTAGACTTAAAAATTTAATCTAATTAATTGATTTAATGATGTAACGGTGACATAATTCAATAATATTGCTGAGACAGACTCTCGTACTTCTTCATTGAAATTCTGTCACTTGACATATTCTTATATCAGTAAATTAGATCAATTTTTCAAATCTCAATAGCATTACTCTTTACTAAAAAATTTGAATCATTGGAACCATATTTTGGGCTGCTTTAATGAGCAGATGGTTTATGACAATATTGGTATAACATGATGTAAGCATGACACGAACTTATTATTAAAATTCGTCAACCTAATAAGAACTTAACACGAGATTTTCATGTACTAGTTTAGTCTTAACAATGACAATCATAATTGGATTGACCCATTAGACTAGAACTGCGTATTTCTCAAACATATTTTAACATGTAATGAGTTACATGATTTAAACATTCCACGTGATACAATATGTTATCAACCATGTTGATCATTACTTTAAAAGATTTGATAGTAAAAGATTAATAATAACTTGGGAAGCTTTAATGTTAGGCATATCAAGTTTTTCATCCCAAGTGATGTGACACAATTTCTATCATTGAATATTAATAGGACTCATTTATTTGACGGTGAAAACTGTATCACAATACTTGAAATGAAAAACTTGATAAGAAATTCCTCCACTCATGGGGCCAAATGGAAAATGTAATGACTAAAAAAAAGGAAGTGGGGTTTGTTTGGGTGGGTGGGTGGGGAGCAACCAGACACGGCAACAATCTGAAGTCAAGTGGTAAATGAATAAAGCTTTAAATGTTGGAAGATGGGTGCCCACTGCCAAGAGTTCTTAAAACACAACCGAAAAAAAAAAAAACCTTTCATGTGTCCTCTAAAGGGAGGGATCATGGATTTTTGATACCACAGGGCGAACACGAGGATAACGTATTCTTATTAAACTCAAAAAATAAGTATGTGGAGACGACCTAATATGCAGCCGCAGGTGTCTATGTAATAACAGTGGGAGCAGATCGGCCGGTAAATTCTTGCATCTTAGACAGCTTAAGAGCAACCTCCACCTGCCACCAAATGTATCCCAGTTAATCAAAAGAAAGTGATTAAAGAGGCCGTAATGAATGGCAAGAAAGCTTGAAGATATATCTCACAAGAGGAGCAAGTGCTTCTTGAGAATCTCTCCCCGTCTTAGATGGATCCTTTTCATATTGCTCAATGTAAAGACGAATGGTAGCACCCTCTGAGCCAGTTCCAGAGAGACGGAAAACCTGGGGCAGGTTTAAAAATGTAAGAAAGATTCCAGGAAACAAAGAACTCATAATTGAAAATTAGAACCTTCTTTTTTCAGCAACAGAGAACTCATAATTAGAACATGCATTCCATAAGTAAAATGCTTTTAGAAAAGAGATTTGGAACATGTCTATTTGAGTAAGAAAATAATTGAAATGAGAACATTCTTACTTCAGGTTTGCGTTCCAAAACAAGAAGTCATATTCAGAACATGAATTCCTTTAGAAATATTGATTTTTCGCCGTTTATGAATGTGAATTTCTTGTCATTTTCCCGCTGTCCTCAACATTTCCTTCAGGGATGCAAATGCTTGTCAAACTTGCTGGAAGTACTTCCCCACAATAATTTTATGAACCCTGACAAAGCTAGGAAGCTAATGCACTCCCAACTCCTAACTCTCCAATACTACATGCAATGATCTCAAAACTATCTGAAAGGGTTATTGGTCAGGGGAGAGCTTGCTTACCAATCGTGACCCATCCTCAAACAGATAGCGTATACCCTGATGCTTTGAAATGGAACCATCAACAGGATCTTTGTATTCGAATTCATCAGCATGGACAATACTCGACACATCTGAATGTATTCCCTTCACAGTCCTGTGTAAAGTATACAGCACAAGGTTTGCAAAAGAACATCCTTTCCAGAATGAGAATGTTGCAGATTCGATATCAAAAAGAGAAAATGGCAGTTCAGCCTCGATGCTAATCAAGCACTTCTCAATATAGACCACAATACATAGTACAAACAATCCTCTGACAAAGTGGAAGTCATAAAAAGCAACCAAAAAATTGGATTATGTCAACTGATAAATTTCAAACATACTCATTCCACAGGGTGTCTCCCGCCAACCCAAAGCAATGGGGTAAGTCCATTAGGCTCTATTTCGGCACTTTGGCTGTGTGGGGAGGGGGGGGGGGGGGGGGCAAGGTCCTCTGAGATGGGGCTCATCAACCACCCCAACAACCAACTATTACCCAATCCAAGGAAAAGTTGATCAGGCTGGGGCAGGTAGTGTTGATAGTTTTGATTGGATTATGAGTACCTTTTATTCTGTCTGCTTTGTTTTCTAAATGTCCCCATCACATTTTAAATTTTATTCCCAATGACCAACATTTAATACAATCTCTAAATCCACATTTCATAGAGACTCACTAATATTGATAAACATAAAGGAATAGCATATCGGGAGTATCTGAAACACTATAAATAATAAAACTAAGTCAGACACCAACCAACACAAAGATGAGGACGAAGAAGAGGAAAAAAGAAAACTACAGAAGCCAAGTAGGGTGGAACTGGGAACCTTGAATTTCGGCTCTGATATCAGGATTTTTCAGTGAAATATCATTTTTAATTCATTTTATAGATTCTTTACAACTCAAAATTGGAATATTCAGATCAAAGAGGAGAATTATTTTATTTCTCATCCAACGGCTCTATAAATCAGAGGAATATCAATAAAATATGTGCTTATTTGGTTTTAGTTTTGTAGTGTTTTAGATAATAAGCAGCAGATATCATTCTAACCTTTTCCTAATTGAAAATATATAAGCCAAAAAGGAAAACCAACAAATTGATCCACAGATAAAAAAGGGGAGTCTGAGCAAAATTCTGCATAGTGATGCTCATTCTGCAAGAACAAGGGAGAGAAGAATAAAGGGGCAGAAGAGAGTGAATGTTCTTCAGTGTCTCTGAGTTATATCTCTACTGAGTTCAAGCAAAAGCAAATTCCCAAAGAAATTCCAAATCTTGCTCTTTAAAAGGCTCCAAGTGACGTAGTGCTCATCCCTTCTATAGAAGAATTGCCATTACAAAGGAAATGAGCCATGCCCATATCCCAAGGATACAGACATGTTTAACATGCACAGTCATACACTACAAACCCAACCTAGTGTAATTGAAATGAAATTTTATAGAAAACTTAGGGTACTGACAGAATGCCTTTACTTCATTTAAGTCCATGAAATATGAATATTTCCAAAGAGTTTTTTTTTGGAGATAGCAAGGGAAGCATACTTGTTAACATCACCAAGGGAAGATTGCAGTTTCACCAAATATGCCATTAGTTCCTTTGCAGCACCTGCATCAACATTCTTGAAGAAACAAACAATTTCCTTTAACAAATGATGTTTATCACAATCTTACTGCTACTAGAGGGATTAGAACAATAAGTAATAAAGCTACTATTCAGGCATACCTCATAATCATATCTAGTGTAATAGTGACGCCCATATGTGGCCCAATGCTTTCGAACAATGTCTTCCACTGTGACAAGCTTCTCCCCACTGAGGTTGTCTTTATTTTTGTAGGCAAGTATGGATAGCCAAGCCAAAACAGCCCAAATTCCATCTTTCTCACGTATGTGGTCGGAGCCTGCCAACAGGTAGAACAAATGTTTGAAAAAATTGAACCGTACAATCTATTTAATGTAATGAAGATTCCATAAATAATGTGACTTGCTTTTATTTATTAGATATGAAAGAAAATGGCACATAGTCTTACCAGTTCCAAAACTTTCTTCACCACAAACTGAGCACATTCCAGCATCCATTAAGTTACCAAAGAATTTCCAGCCAGTAGGCACCTGACATCAACATAATAGCATAACTATGCCTCTCATAATAATAGAAAAGAAATACATAATTAGAAATTTTTTAGTTTTTGCGAGAGAGTACCTCAAAAAATTTCAAGTTCAAATGTTCAGCTACAACATCGAGAGCAGCTGACGTTGGCATGCTCCTGTAGGCAAAAAAATAAAAAATGAGAAACAAACAAAAGAGGTAAGTAATGAACTCGCACGCAGATGGACAACTTAGAATTCTGGTCTTCGGAAAAGTTTAAATTCTGTGGACGAGAGAGATTGTGCAAGCACTTGGAGAAACAAGGTTAAACAAATGAAAATTCAAGTTTAAGAAAGCATGCACAAATGCATGAACCTGCCCACCAAAGCAAGCAAACTCTGTAACACCACAAAGTAATTATATCATTATATGAATATATTTTTACTTCAATTTAATCTTAGAGAGGATAAATTATATAACTTCCCTAGTTATTGGAAATTTAATTTAGATTTTGTGACACAGAAGGACAATAAAAAATATAGGAGAGAGAATGCTTGCACTTGTTTCATTTATAGGTGGCTGTGGTTAAATTTCTCATGCCTCATTCACACAAAGAGAGAATATTTGGGTTTTTTTTTTAAAATATCAATGATTATCTCCACGAAGGGCTTGGAGCAAGGTAAAATAGTTCAACACATAAGTAGGGAGTGAATGACTAATTTATATAAAGTAGAGCTATTTTATTGGCAAACAAGGTTTAAGTTATCGGCCGAATCCGATTCAGTCACCTCCAATCTGCTAATGGTACAAGTCACACGGATATCATGAATCCCACCTGAATTGGTGGTGACTTGGTGGTATCGGCATGACTCAAAGTTATACAGCTACGAATTGGATGATCTATACCAGACTCGGACCGATATGGTTAGAGTCTTGGGAAAAACGAGTCATATTCCTATGTGCGAGATGCTGCAACAATGTAGTGGCCTTCACCAAGATGGTAAATGTTAGTCATGTCAAAGCTGATAAGGTGTTTTTCATTTTTTTGCAAGCAATGTCTGTTTAGTGTATCGTCCACAGTTCCATAAAAGTTCAATATTCTTGATACTTTACAAGAGACTGCTTTATATAAAATCTGAAATCCATGTGTGATAAAAATCTCTTCTTACGGTATACTGCTCACTGTGGTAGTTAATACTCTTGTTGGGCTTATTATTTTACGGATTCAAAGTTAGAATTTAGATTACAACAATAGAGTGGAAGTTGAAAGATTGAAGACTCAGAGAATGTGACATTTTACATTAGTTTATTATTAATTTTACTATCTGTTGGAGATAAAGTAGCAGCCTAGTTTATAAGGGCTTATTAAATTTTTTTTTTTACCTTTTTATCCTTATTGTAACTTTCATTGGCTATATATACGGGGCTCTACACTTAATTTGTATCCCTTTTTACATATTCCAAGTTGGTATCAGAGTCTAACCTCCATCCCTAACCCTAATCCTAACCTTAACCCTAGCTTTCATCACCCCCTACTGTCACCATCGACAGCCTCTCCACTGGAAAAACCAAAAAAAAAAAAAAAGGAAGCTAGCCCACTGCCGGGGACACAAAGCCAAAACCACAAAGCAAAGCCAACAACGAGCACCGACTGCCATATACCCACAAAGCTCCAAAACCACAGAAAAGAAGCTAGCACCAACTGCCTCTATACCAACTGCCTTAGACTACCTGCCATATATCCACAAAGCCTGGTTACATACACAGGTTCAGTTAGCAGACGAGACACATGCCCCTATTGTTAGTAGGGTACAGTCCGCCTCCCAGATGGCTTTACATTACGTTTCGGTTTTTCATGCGCCAAAGTTGGCCATGAATCTATTATCTGTACATTAGTTAGCCAAAGATTTTCACCGTGCGGTTGTGTTCTTATCTGATTCATGTTATTTGCAGGACCTGAGTACCAGGAGAATTATTATCAAGGGACATGAGAGAGATGGACTGTATTATCTAGGCGATCCGCCTCCAGTTTCACTAGTTCCTCTACCTACGTCACCTGCACCTACTTTATCTTTATCTGTTCCTAACTTGCATGCTAGTATTTTACCTAGTAATTGTCGTTATGATTTTCGTCACAAACTGTTCAGTTGTGGCATGACCGTTTTGGATATACAAATTTTAAATATTTATGTATGTTGTTTCCTACTTTGAGTAATGCTTGTGTTGGTGGTAAACTTGACTGTGTTATATGTTCCCTATCAAAACATGTTAGGACCAGTTATATTCTCGCATGCACCAGTCACCCAAGCCATTTGACCTAATACACTCTGATATTTGAGGACCCTCTCCTGTTACTACTCTGTCAGGTGTCCGATACTATGTGACCTTTATAAATGACCATACCCATTGTACTTGGGTCTATTTTTTGCATAAGAAATCCGATGTACTCCCTATAATCACTCAGTTTCTACAAATGATTAAGACACAATTCGATGTCATTGTTCGTACTCTTCGTTCAGATAATATCAAGGAATATGTGTCTAATGCCTTAGTGTCTCATCTTTCTTCTCAGGGTATCCTTCAACAACTCACTTGTCCATATACTCTTGAGCAAAATAGCGTTGCTAAAAGAAAAAATAGGAGTCTGATAGGGATGATACGTTGTATGTTTAGAGGCATGGGAGTGCCAAAATCTTATTGACATTTTACTGTTTTGACTTCTACCTTTTTATGCAATCGTACGCCGAGTCGTGTTCTTCAGCATAGGACTCCCTTACAAGTTTTATTTTCTGAGCAAACACTTTTTTCGGTTCCCCTTCGTGTTTTTGGATGTACATGTTTTGTTCGGGATCGATCTCCTACTCGTCATAAGCTTGATAATAAAACAATTCGTTGTGTCTTTGTGGGCTATTACAATCAGTCTAAGCGGTATCGGTGTTATGATCCTGTTAGGCGTCGTATGTATCATAGTCTAGATGTTACCTTTCTTGAGCATATTCCTTATTTTTCTTCCAGTCCTGTGTCTGCCCCTCCAATTGATGATACTTCCTTTGATTTTCCATTACCCCCGGAGCCAGAGTCATTGATCATTATCACTACAGAGTCATCGGTTTCTCCTCCTCCAGAGCCACTCATCCCTGGTACAGAGTCACCACCCTCTCTTCCTTTGTAGGTTTATGTTCGTCGCCCTCGCTCTCATCTCCCTGCTGATGTCCCCTCTACTTCAAGCGATGCAGATAATACTTCTCAGTTTGTTGAGCATATTGATGTACTTGTTGTTAGTACTGATGAAATTACAAATACTGAGTCAGTTGTTTTACCTGATGAGACATTGTCAGTGGAGGATAATGATTTAGAGCGTCGTTATCCGCAGCGTGATCGTCGTCCTGTTGCTCATTATGGTTGGACTGCCAAGATTTTATACCCGATCTCTACTTATGTTTCTTATGGTGATCTGTCTCCTATATTTCGAACTTATAGTATGGCCTTATCAGATACGCCGGTTCCTCGCTCTGTTTCAGAGGCTATGCAGGAGCCCCAGTGGATTCTTGTCATGTAGACAGAGATTGACGCTCTTCAACGTAATCATACGTGGGATCTTGTCTCTTTACCTTCAGGGGTGAAGGCTGTTGGCTGTCATTGGGTTTACAACCTGAAGTTTCTTGCAGATGGTACTATTGATCGTCACAAGGCTAGGCTTGTAGCGAAGGGCTTTACTCAGGTACTTTGGTGCTACCTTTGCCCTCGTGGCAAAATTGACTACTGTTCGACTGATTATTTCTCTTGCAACGGAGTACTCTTGGTATCTTCATCAGTTAGATGTGAAGAATGCATTTCTTCACGGTGATCTAGACGAGATTATTTATATGGCTGCCCCACCGGGCTTTCGTGGTGAGGGGGAGTATGATGGAAAGGTATGTCAACTGCGTAAGTCTCTTTATGGACTGAAACAGTCACCATGAGCCTGGTTCTCTCACTTTAGTGATGTAGTTGTATGTTTAGGATTCACCAGATGTCATTCTGATCATACCTGCTTCATTCGACGGAATATTTCTGGACAGTATGTCATCCTTTTGGTATATATTGATGATATTATTATTATTGGAGATGATATTTCTGGGATTACATAGGTCAAGGTAGATCTTGGAAAGGCCTTCGATGTGAAGAACCTTGAATTTTTGCGATACTTTCTTGAGATTGAGGTTGCCCGTAGCAACAGAGGTATTATTTTTTCTCAGAGAAAGTATGTTCTGGATCTTCTCTCAGACACTGGGATGTTGGGGTGCAAACCGGCATCATCACCTATGATTTCAAACCTGAAGCTTACTGCAGAAGGTGAGGAGTTGAGAGATTCATTTGTCTATCAGAGATTGGTAGGTAGACTTATCTACCTAGCCAACGCTAAGCCAGACATTTCATTCGCTGTCAACTAAGTTAGTCAGTTCATGCACAGATCATGTCAGCCTCATCTTGATGCAGTTTATCATATTCTTCGGTACCTCAAGTCTTGTCCTAGACTTGGGTTGTTCTATGCATTAGGATCTCAAACCGATCCTCTAGCCTGTTATTCAGATTCAGATTATGGGGGAGAATGTGACGATCGATCTACTACAGGCTTTTGTGCTTTTCGAGGGACTCATCTTATCTCTTAGAAGAGCAAGAAGCAATCAGTTGTCTCTCGCTCGTCAGCAGAGGCAGAGTATCGGGCATTGGCACTTAGCACATGTGAGATTATCTGGCTACAATCGATTCTTGGCAAGTTGGGATTTTCAGTGACTTCTTCATCTAAATTATATTGCGATAATCGATCTATTATTTAGCTTGCTTCTGACTCTGTATTACATGAGAGAACGAAACATATAGAGATCAATATTCACTTTCTTCGGGAGAAGGTTAGCAGTGGTATTGTCACTCCATCGTTTGTGAAGACCAGTGATCAGGTTGCAGATGTTTTTACCAAACCTGTCACTCTATCCATTCTTCGGACTCTCTTGTCAAACTTGACTTAGTTGACATTTTTGCGCCTAACTTGAGGGGGAGTGTTGGAGATATAGTAGCAGCCTAATTTATTAGGGCTTATTAAGTTTTTCTCTTTTTACCTTTTTATTCTTATTGTAACTTTCATTGGCTATATATACGGGGCTCAATACTTAATTTTTATCCCTTTTTACATATTCCAAGTCTATCAAAGAATTATATTGCTTAGATATTGTTAATTTGGATATTTTCCAAAATATTGATTATTAGGAAGTATTAATAACCTTTCGAATTATTATGTTAGAAGTATTATGCATGGGCATGACAACACGCATGCACGAATAGACATACACATGGCACCACAGAAGCTAAGCAAGACTACAGAACCTGGCAACTCCCTTCAGACCAGCAGAAAAGTAGGGTATGGCTTGAACCGCATTTGCAGCAATTATAGCAACAGAATCAGATGGAGTAACGAAAAACCTGACATCATAAAAAGAATTAGATATCTAAGATTCTAGCATGGCTTGCCCAATATTTTATTTTTTACTTGATGGGAAAAACTAAAGATTCTAGCAAGAAAGTTGTTCATGCCAAAGTTTTTATATGATGCTACCTTTTACCAAGGATCATGTTACGATCTGCGTCACCATCAGCAGCAGCACCAAATTCTGGAGGCTCATGTTCAGTGTTTGACTTATCCAATCCCATGCGTGCAACTAACTCCTTTGCATAGGTTAGATTGGGATCTGGATGCCCTCCACCAAAGTCTTCCTGTTTGCATGAATTCATGTGCAAACGGAACTGAGAGCATTAGTACTACGGACACAAAAGCTTAATAATTTCAAAACAAATATGATGTTAACCTAACAGTACCTTGGGTGTGCAGTTCAATAAAGAGCTTTCTTTTGCGCCAAGCTCTTCCACAAATATAGGTTTAGCATAAGCCCCACCAACTCCATGAAGTGCATCATAACTAAAAGTGGATAACAGGTTTTAAACATCCAACATAAACTTTAAAAAATCAAAATGGAAGTATGATGCGCCTTAGATCCAAGCAAGATGTCAATACATACCAGAATGTGAATTTTGGTGATGAAAGCAACTTCTGAATAGACTGGAAATCAAATATCGACCTGCAAAGAAATCAACAAATTGAATGCCATTACAGGAGAGCAATCCAAATGGAAATATCAGCAAAACAGTGTATTATAAGTCACAACTGCTTCAAACATTTTTTATGTTGAAGAATGTAAGAACAAAAAGTAGTGAAATTATGTACTGGTATAATTGTCTATTCAACAAAATAAATAACTTTAATTAGAAAATATTAAGGAAATTTGTTAATACTGTAAAAAGTGTACATTAAACTAAGAAATCGGAAAATATCAGTATCCATCCACCAACGTTACTGACTTGGAAATGCATGTAAACAGTCTCAATAGAAGTTATAGAAGTTAAAGGGTCACAACATGCACAATTCACAACTTTTAGGGGTGACAACCCGGACACGTAGAGTGTGGATCAGGTAACACTCGGGTCGAATTGGAAGGAAGGGTATTAAGAGGCCTTCTAGACCAAATCCCATACCCGCTTGGTGGATTTGCATTATAAATCCATGGTTTTGTTCGGTGTGTTCAGATCAACTCAAGGGCATTAGTGCTATAAGAGAACTTGTATCCCACATCAAATAATTAGGACCAAGTGCTAAGAGAGCTTGTACCCAACATCGAATAATTAAGATCATCAAAGTTAGTTTATATACTTGAGGGAGCCCTCCACCCTTTGCCAATTGGTTTTGGGTTGGATGCTCTAACACAGTATCAGAGTTGGGTCTTGGGTGGTCAATGTGCCAAATCTCTTACCCATTTGAAATTCTTAGGGTGCTTGTTTGTTTGTTGATCCCACGTGAGGAAGAGTATTAAGAGAGCTTGTATTCCACATCGAATAATTAAGACCGGTTGGTTTATATACTTAAGGGGTCATCCCACCCATTGCCAATTGATTTTGTGTCAAATGCTCTAATAATAAGAACCTCTCATAAGCTACACCCGAACCCAGCTTTAATGGTTCAGATCAGCCAAGGCCACCCCTCCACTCTCATCGTATCCGATGAAAACAATGACATGGATAAATGTTTTCAACATATAAGCTTCCACTAAAACCAGAAAGTAAAAACTTGACATTGATCCAGTGAAGATAACATACTTCATCAATTTCACGTAATCGTTGGCTGAATCAAAAACTTCAACATCAAACTGACCCTCTGGACCCCCAAAGCTTGTTACGCCCATTACAGAGATATCAACCTGGACATATGAACATGTGATCAATGAAACTACCACATTAAGCAACTACACATGATGCAATCCAGAAAACTATGAACTGCTAAGAAAGCAGGCAATACATCTGGTAGGCCTTCTGCAATTAAGTACTCTTTTATTGTTGTAGTGTACTCGTAGATCTTATCAGTAATTGCTTCCGGCGCAGGTCCACCGTTTTCCATGTTGTATTTAATTCCAAAATCCTGTAGAAAATAAAAAGCATAAAAGAAAGAGTCAGATATTAGGGTAAGGGATTTGTGTTCTGAAAAAATCACAACAAAAGTTTTGCTATTTCAACAATTCAAATGGCAGATTCAAAAATAATCACTCCCACCCAAATTGAGTAGTTGTTTAGACTAGCATGCAATGCTTAGCTTCCCATGCTAGACATTCTTTTGGATTCTCTTTTATTTTTGCTATATAATGGATTTGGTATGTTCCAGTGGGGAAAGGCGATTTCCACCAAATATATTAATGCTATAATCAATATGAAAAATGAGAGGTACCTCCAAGGAAGACAATTTTTAGAGGACAAACAAATTTCCAGGTAAAGCTTAATTCAAAATTAGGGTGAGCTTACAGTTATGAAAGGAATTATAGAAAAACTACTTGCATTGGCAGGCCTTTATACTAACTGATAGGAATACCTTTTTAAATTGTTTTTGGGGCTAAACTCAATGTACAAGGTCCAGGTACAAAATTGGCATGGCATGTTACCACAAAAAATTCCTCAATCTATGTAACTCGCTGATATCAAGGGATCTGTTAGGAAACAATACAAGGCGATAAATTTGAAACTTCAATATCCAAATGTGCCTAAAAATTAGAGGATTCTATACGAAACTTGACATATCAAAATCAGTGAAATGAGATTTAACTAGACAAGAAATCCACGGTGTTAGAAACCTAAAGTTTCGTAGCCAAACACACATACTCCCAAATTAAATTTGAGATCTCATTTAATTGGTTAAGAAAAAAATATGTTGACATGGACCACATCACCTGAAAAAAGAAAACCAGTTTAGCAAGTAAAAGAGGATTTCCCATACAGTATAGGTTATTAACAAATGTGAAATTATGAGTGTAATATTATGGGTATCAGTATGTGAAGTAGACAGTTCAAATGTCATAATGTTTGCTTTCTAGAATATCAGACCACCATTTCCTTCAACGAAAGATAAAACAGGAAACATCATTTTTTAGCTGGTGTATTTACTTCTGCAAGAATGTTTATATGAGCTGCTTCCCATATGAATTGATCTCTTGATAGAATAAGGTCATTTCCCTTTTGCCACAAAATCTATAAATCATAATAGATTTTAGTATGTAATGAAGGCAGAAGAACTGATGGATGTCACCAAATTCAGCATTTTATCACGTAAGTGTCCCAAGATTCACTTTGTGAGATCTAGAATGAGAATTGCTGACTACTAGCGAATTGGCATAACAATGTAAGTTACTTGAGAAAAACCTACATGTGAAAAAAATTATCTTACATGGCATAAGGGAACACCACAAAAAGATCCAAACATATAAGAAAAATATGATGATCTAGAGATCAAATGTGAATATTAAGATGCTATACTGGCAATGGTTTGTTCAAGTAGAAAAAAAAAAAAAGTAGATTTGGTCAGGGGAGAAAAGAGGGATAAAAAGGAAGAAGGAGAGGGATGGCTCCATTTTGACATCTAGGAAATCAGCAATAACGCACTTACGTAAAACACAACAATCTTTGTATGAACTGAAAGATACTTATAATTCAGTTAGTAAAAAATATTTTCCTTTGGTAGCTGAATAAGTTAACAAAATATATTCAAGATAAAGTTTTTGCCAAAAAAGAAGAATTACTTGCATCCATGCATTCAGCTTATAATTAACTTAGGGACATCCCGTAATGTGTGATTAGATCAAAACAATTGCAAGACATGTGTCGGCAACAGTCTTACTTGATATGATATTAATGATGAGGCAGAGAAATATTTCTTAACCTCCAGTATGAATCATCTGTTCCAAAATAATCCTCAACATCGAAATGAAGGCTTTCAAGACAATAGTAGCCCATCATAGCACAAATGCATGTTGGCAATCAGATAACTCCACCAAGGAATGTGGGGGATGCTTATTTTATGGAAATGATCGAGGTTGGAGTAACAAAAACGGCAGTTACAATTACACGGAGAAACTCATTATCAAGTCCAGGAGAAGTAAATATCAAATGCTTGGTCCTCCAGCTTGCATCTAAACATGGGTTCAGAATAGTTCCAGGTAACGAGGCCCTCAAGATCATTGAAAAGAAAAGACAACTCCAGAACCATGACAGAATCAAAGAAGGTGCTTGATTTCATTGACAATGACATCACGCTTTAAAAAGTAAAAATAAGATATGACCAATTTCATCCCGGTAACAGAAACGTGAAAAACATAGCACGGATTGCCAATCTAGACAATTTGATGGGTATAGACACTAAGAAATAGCCAGATATAGCTGATACCCACCTCATGGGGACCACCTGGATTGTGACTCGCAGTCAATATAAATGCTCCAGTTGCCTTAGAACCCTATGATGAAATTTGAAAGCGACCATCATCCATGACCATAAGAAACGAAAAAAAAAAAAAATGCTCCAAGCACAGCTAAATGTTGCCAGTTGAAAGCGTGAACTTACATCGTGCCCAATTCTTTCACGTATGACTGCTGATACAGCAGGGGTGGACAGCAATCCATTTTGACCAACCCAAACACGCCTTACTCCATTTGCAGCAGCCATTTTAATTATGATCTGCCCACAGAGCAGCAAGTAGATTACATCACATGATCAGTAATAAAGGTGTAACTTTGTCACCATTCAGAAATTTAAAAACAAGAACCACTCTATTGAAGTATAAATACTTAAATTACACCCTCTTCAACAGCTTAAGTGTTTAGAGTAGATGTTTGTTTAACATGCTCCATCAAGGCAACTCAGTTATGTTACACAACACAAGTGGACTTGATCCAGCCCAAACCTCCAAGCAGGACATTCAACCCATAATTCATGCACAACATGAGGTAAGCTTGCTGTACCGGAGCTCTTGGGTTGTCCCTAGGTATAACATTAGACCTAGATTGGGTGTCTATTGTATCAGATGAATGGGAAATGTTCTCCACAGAAAGAAAAGCATAGCTTTATTAACCCCCTTAGATATATTATTCTGATCTCGCAAGAGTGTAAATTTACATTTCTAAATATACATGGCACACTAAATGTGGCTGTTTCATCAAACTGATTGGCCTGGTCTCTTGATGCCTCAACTCATCAACCAATCTTCAAGTTGAGGTCGTACCAGCCATATCTGGACCCATCAAAAGGAGAACTTAGGTCAATCAAACTGGACTTGAGCCTAACGCAATCAGCCACTAAACAGAGGATCATCCACATTCAGTGGAAAATTAAAAAGAATGGGCATGACAATTCAGAGAGAGGGAGAAGATTAGAAAAGCTGATTACTCTGACATTTGGAATACATGACCATACCACAGACTTTTAAGGGAAAACTGATGGTGCATATTGTTAGCACTTATCAGTAACAGAAGATCGCATGTACCCATTCAGTGTGTCAATCTGGATCACATTTTTGTTGCAACTTAAGATGCATGTACATAAAACATGCTCCACATTTGCATATAACATGGTATTCAGTGGATTTAAGGAAACAATATCCATAATTTTTTGAGAATAATTAGTGAAGCAATTTAGGATCTTTAGCATTCTTTCCTTTCTTTAAAGATTGTAGCATTGAAAAGGTGGTTTAGTGCACGAGACTCCCTCCACAGATCTAGCGAAGGTTAGATATATGCAGTCTCACCCCCCCCCCCCCACCCCACCCCGGGGGGGCGCGCGGAAAAAAAAAATCCCCATGCAGAGAGGTTGTTTGCAACATTAAAAGCACCTAGAATACTTTTAGGGTCAATTTGGGAGGAGGTAAAGATCGAATATCAATAGATACCAAAGGGCGAACACTTTCGATAAATAGAGTCAATTATCCAAGAGGGGAAGATTGGAGACAATGTTACTCATAGAATTAAAATATGATAAATGAAAAAAGGAATGCATCTAGTGTATTGTGTGATCGAGATATACCTATTAAGGCGAAAAAGCAACCCTACAAGACAAGCATTGCACTAACAATACTTTATCATAAAAAAAATTGGGCAACTAAAAAAAGCATGTTCAAAACTAGGTGTGGTTGAAAAGAGAAAGTGAAAATGGCTGCGTTGTAAAACTAGAAAAGATAGAATCAGAGTATATTCATAAAACCGTATACATTGAACCAATTGGAGATAAATTAGCAAAGAATCAACCCAGATAGTTTGGGCATGTTTATAGAAGACTTATTACTACACCAGTGAGAAAGAGCGATACAAGTAAAAATAAATATGACTGCTTCCAATTGAACACACAATGGAGGAACATGATGCATGTGGTCCATCCCTAAATAGTTGGGATAAAACCTTGTCCAGTTGAGTTGAATACATTCCATACTACATAACAAATGTATTTTGATTTCCTTCACATTCTACATAATTGGATGGATTTAGAAATTTTGAAGAATAAATTTTTTTGCAAAACCCAACACATAAGCCGAATATTGAAACATCACATCAGATTACTTCGAAGTTAAACTGTGAATTGTATGCCAACACTAGGCTATTGCTCTATTCAATGAGGCTTGCAAACCCTTAAAGGTAAAATGAAAGTTAACCTACATAGACAAAATTTGCTTTCTTCATAAAATGATTAATGACAACCAGAATCCTTCCTAAATTAACAAATAGCGCAAGGATAAGCCTTGGATATAATTTGCCATAACAATATACCTGGATAGCATCCTTTGAAAAGTATCGGCCATCACCAGAAACAACAAGTGTAGCACCTGCAGAAAGAACATGTAGTTAACGAAAAATAAACATAACCCATAAAAAGAAAATATCAATAAAAAACCACAACCATTTAGGACATGAAGCAAGACAAAGAGAGAACTAGGTTAAGGGAAAATTAAAAAAAGAAAAAAAAAACACATCAAAACTTACTAAAATTTATCCATCAATAGATGAAGGCATACAAGCTTAAAGCCCTCCCTCAAGCCGAAGTTAAAAAAAAGGGACAAATTTTGTTGAATTGACTATTTCTTGGAATGGATGAAGAGACTCTGCATCCGCATAACCCAATATTGGGTGGTTCTAATCTTTAATGTGGGATTCAAGCGCTCCCCACCCATTCTCTCACATGTAACCCAAGCTCACATGCAGGCTGACAAACAAAACTAAAGCAAAGAGACCAACAAACTGAAAATTCAAATGGGTGAAAAACTAGCCCCTCAATCATCCAACTCTGATCCCATGTTAGAACATCAAACACAACCAATTGGCAATGGTGAAAGAACTATCAAGTATCAACCACATAAACCAACCTTACTTGGCCTTAATTTTTCAATGTGGCACAGAAACTCTCTTCACACAACATATGTAGATGACAAAAATACAGACTGTCATCCCAAAAAAACTGTGTCCATCATATTAATATTGGCCTTGTACTTATAGGGGTAAAGCAAATTCTTAGCTTTTTTCGATCTCATTCCTACATTAGCAATTGCATTCTTCAAGTGAGAGGATAAGTATTAAACAAAGCTTTTGTGACTACACACAATAAATTTTGAATGCATATACAAAAGGCTAGAAAACTTCTTCACCGTCAGACTGCTATACAAATTCCAACATTGCGTTCTTGGCCAAAGCTAGACTAAACTCTATATTTAAGTTTGTGAAAGTTGTTATATCCCAATCTCTATCTAATCAATAAGATATCTTCCAAACACTACAGCGTAATACGTCATACCCAAATCTCTCTTATATCTACGATAGGACTAACAAAATTTGACAGTTAATTGTATTCCTTATAAATAACCAAACTTGTTAATTCATTCAATAGGGTTGAACCATCCAAAAGCGAATAGCCAGATAAAAAGCGAGCATTGTTTTGCCACGAAAGAGATATATTAGAAGACAATGATCTCCAACAAGAAACATAGTGGAAAGAAAGGCAACGCTTAATGTCGGGAACATCATGATCTCAATAAGTGCTCTGACTCATGGGCACCAAAGGCGAGAAAGCATGATTGGAAGGAAAGAGAGGGGGGAGAGAGAGAGCAATGGTTAGCAAACATACTCCTTTGGACAATGCAACATGCTAAGACACATAAATCATTTCTATACATAGACAAAAGGAACTCAAGCACTAACATCCCTAAACTCATAAAACCCAATATGATTATGCAGTAAGGAAGACAAGAGAACAAGGTCTTAAATTTATAGTTCTTAGAGAGAAATAAAGGAAAAACACTGGTAGGGTGTTGGTTTAGACAATACCTAGTGTACGCAAAAGAACTTGTAGGGTGCTAGTTTAAGCAAATCTTGGTGCACTCAAAACGTTCTTTCTTTTTTATTCTAATGGGAATGAGAGAACGAACTCATAGCTCTCCCTTCTACGTGAGGGCTATAGGGCTATAGGGAAGAGCATACGAGGAGGTGAGCGACATCTTGTACAATGTACGTTCTAGCTGCTTGCAAGTGCTCGCTTGAACAGGTAGACTGGGTAACTGCATATGATCCCCCGCAGCATGCGTGAATGTGGTAGCTCGGAAACGTCATTGCCTATGAGTTTGGGTGCGTTTCCCTTGCCATCTCCCCAATGGAATAGATAGCTCTTGCAATGCTCGCTTCACTTCCCTCATATTACAAAGATGTCATAAGTCACATACAAAAGAAAGTAAAACCAAATATCCAGGTCAAATTAAGTCCAAACAATAGAAATATTCTAATTCAGATGTACGTCATAAGTACCTTATTACAAGTAAATTACTAAAAGTAGAGACTAATGTCGGCTCCCATGCGAGTGTCACATCACTAAACCACTACCATAAATGATACTGGTACATGTAAAACTAAAATGTCGAAACATTAAGTGTAGGAAGTTTTTTTAATTATATCAGCTTGCTCTTGCATCATGTAACATAAATTAAATGAAAAATCTAACATATTAGCTCGAAAAGATATTAAAAAAAGTACCTCAATGCAATCTAAAACTTAAATTTGAGAACTCTCAAGTGAGCCCCATCTTGAAATTGAACCAAATGTCCTTTATCTCTCTCTCTCTCTATCTTCCTATCAATTGCATAAAAGTCATTTCAGCTTCATACAACTTGGCATCTTCTGTCTAACTATACGTGTGCATTGTTGTGCGTCATAAAGCACTCCTAACCTCATAACTAAGAAAATGACAACTCAATGCACGAGACTAACGTCAGTGAGAGGTTTGGAGAGAATCAAGTGCATGCAATCTTATTCTTGCATATGGTGGAAATGTTCTCGCATGCGGAGGGTTCATTTCCACGAATGGGGCATTGATGCATAGGTCAAGTAGAGCAATCCTAATGCTACACCAAGGTCCATCCCCTAAGTAAATTTAACTTTCTACATACCATATCCATGCTTTAATCACAGACAATATGAAAAGAACAACTTCGTTTTCTTAGTTGTGTCTTAATAATAAGATCCCGATCCTCTTCGACTGAATGAGTAGATCATAATTTTAAAAATAAATGCTCTTGAATATCGTTTTTACTGGAATAATAACAATTTCTTCATATAGAACAGATGGACATCCTCACTCCTAGGAGGTTGTTTACAGACAATGAGATAGTTGATGATAACCATATTTTTTAAATAACCCCAAAATTGTCCTTGTAATGGAGTCCAACTTCTTTCCGCGATTTAACAAATGCATTGTTCCATGGTTTTTTTCTCAATAACACATCTAATGAATTTTGAGAAAGAAATCTTGTTCCATACAATTCAAAATAAGAGAAAGATGCAAACATGATGTAGTCAGTGGCCTACAATCCACATTAAAGTAGACATTGCTTGCACAGATATAGATCTTTGAAACATTTTTGTGATAACCATATAGATTTTGGATTTCAACTACTTCAAAACTGCTACAGCATTTGAAATTCATTTATTGCATGTTAAAATTTCAATACCCCAGTCAAGACTTTCATCTCAAATTGTACGAGAAAACCAAACAATAAATAACAAAACCCTTACCTCTAACTTTTTCTGTTGTAAGGGCATTGAATGTTGACTGAACAAAATTTTGCAAGTAATTAGGCTGCTTGAATACTTTCACCTGCAAAAATACACAGACACCATTTTATTAGATCAAATAATAAAAGCTATTCAGATTGTCCAAAGCAACCAACAAGCACATATTCCAGCTAATTACAGAAAACTGTCATCACCAAAAAATGTAACTATATGGCATGTGGGTAACTTGACAGTCATTTCATCTGTAACAGCACCCAATACCATGCTGATAAAACCTTGTGATCAGAAGCCTATATATGACTTCTATAAATTATTTTCACTCATATAATCAAATCAAAGGTTGTCAATTCATATATTTTAAATACTACGGCATGCAAATTTAATAGACAAAAATACATATTATAAAACTACTTTCAACTGGTGCACACACACATAAACAAGAGAATTATTAGATCACCAAGGAACAAAAGGGTCCAAAGCAGTAGAGAAATCATTGAAGCCCCCACGATCAAGAAAACAACATTAACAATAGATAATTGGATCTCACGTTACATGCACTCTTCAAATGCATCACCTACCGATGTCAGACAATTGCTGGCAGGGTAAAGGTATGTTATATTTGTGCAACACTTCCCAGCAAATGTGCCAATCAAAAATCTACAACAATCTAGTTTATCATAAATTATATTCCTTGAATATATTCCGGGGATGGGCAGATTAGCTGCAGGCCATACACCTAACATTATAGGCACCAGTTTGACTTCATACGCAAAACCACAAACTTGTGTCAACAATACTCCCCTCCCAGCATCCACCGTTAACATGAACCAAACCGGGTAATGACAATTTATTATTGTGATAGTTGGTGTTGTGGCAAAATTGATATAAAATGAGGAAAATGCCCATTTTTATCACTGTGGTACATCAAATATTATTTGCCCTGGAAATAATACAAATTATGAGATTTGGACATTGGAGACAATATGAATCTCATGCATAGATCAATACCTTCACCTGACAATCATACTCAGGTCCATGTAACATAAGTTAGATGTCATACTAACACAAAAGATACTGTTTTTTGTGTGGACTAATAGAAATATATTTACGTGATTACATCTATTGCAAGTGAGTTCACATCAGAATGATCTAATTCATCATCTGCATTAAGTTGGATTCTACTCCAGCTCACTCTTTAAAAATTACAAATCAACATAAAGAATCATACGATGAAATTCTTATCCTTTAAATTATCGAGCTCAATGATCTTATAAAATTCCCAGCACTCATTTGCGAAATATAAACAGGATCTAATTAAGTGCTATATATTCATAAGATCATCTGAACACTGAGAATAATTGCTCATACACAGCAAAATCAAAGTTCAAATTTCAAAATTAACCAGCTAATTCGAATAAACATCGATCAAATGGAAAAGAATTGCTCGTACACTGAAATAAATATGCAAATTTCATACGGAAAAGAAACGCACCAGTTCAAATTTTACAAATATATATATGCAATCATGTTTGAAAGAACATATCAAATTGAGTTACTGTAATCAAGATCAAAGGTTCAAGCAAATGTTCTAGATCAAATGGTACCACTTAAACAACTATATTGCCAAATCTAGAAATTACCTTCTTCCTCAGACCAGAAGTCCCAGGTTTCTGGCCATCGAAACGGTGTCGTTTCAACACGACCAACCTTGAACACAACCATCTCTTCTTATCTCCACTGCGGAGTAAACTAGCACACTCCAAATCAGAGACCACATACAAGACAGGGTAAGCACTCACACATCCATATGAACACAGAGATAGAGAGAGAGAGAGAGAGAGAGAGAGCTTACATTGAAAGGTGGTGAGGAATGAGACGGAACGAGTGCGTGCGTGCGTGCTGTGTGTGTTTCAAGAGGGTCCGAGTGAGTTAGATATCAGATACACAAATAGACAGGAGAGGGACAGAGAATATGACGACAGGATTATTCTATCGGATTTTTAAACCGCACGTCTGTCTTGTCTTGTGTTAGACCAGCTTAGAAGGAGCGGTTCACGCGGTCAGACAGTGGTTCAGATCTCCGATCTTTACTCTTCACCCGCTGCTTTCCGATTGTATGTCTAAATAATTAGGATTTTTTGCATTTTATATTTTAAAAAATTTAAGATTCTTATTTTATAATCTCAACTATTAAATTTTTAATATTATACTCTCAATGTATCAAAAGTGTATTGTGAGTTACCTAAAAGGTAGTTTTCAATAATGATACTTACACATATTGATACTGATATTGTATGATTTTTTGATTAAATTCATTATTTGATTGACAAATAGCTTTTTAATATTATGGGCCACTCAGAATAGATATATAAATTTAGTTAAATTATTATGTTTAAAGAATATTAATCTTATGTTCCGTTTGGTAGGGAGGATGAAAAGTAGGAGGAATACATTTTCTTCCTTTGTATTTGGTTGGATGGATGAAAAATAAAAATGATATTTTTTTTTTGTACTAGCTAAATTTAGAGGTGACAAAGAGTCGAGTCATGTCGTGTCAAATTCGTGTTGAATCATTACGAATTTGTTGTCGAATATTAGTAAAATCTAACTTAACTCATTTAATTAATTGTGTCGTATCGAGTTGGAGTTGATCTATTTATTTTCGTATCGAGTTCGAGTCGTGTTATCGTGTTGACTAAAAAATTTTCACTCTTAGTTAAGATGGAAAAAAAAATATTTTTTTTAAATTTAAAATTTTTATTTTTTTTTTTCATTTAAAATTAAATTTTAAAATTTTTTAAATATATATACATATTTTACCATTTATTTTATATGAAATTAATGTATACATAAGATATATAGACAAATACAATACATATCAACACAAATAATTAACTTTCCATCTACTTTTTCTTCTGATTTTGGAGGAATTGATTTTGGTGAGTTGAAAAAAAAGTTAATTCATAAATTTTCCGTCATTCATACTTTCCTTCCTTACCAAATGATGATATTTTATTTATTCTTTCAACTTTTCCATCCTCCCAGTAATCGCATAATAGTTATAATCCCCTTTTGCCTTGGGATCAATTTTCTTCATGTTTGGGGTTGGGGTGTGTGGAAGGTATCCAATATTAATGAAGTCAGACTTTTGCAATGTTGAGTTTGATGCACAATTGCATTCTTAGCTGTATTTGTTCCAATAAAATAGGAACTTTTCCCACCGTGAATGAATTTGGTCGTGCTCAATAATAATTATTTTATTTATTTGAAAAAAATATCTCAAGTCACTCTGATGACCCATTTTATTGTCTTTGATTTTCTTTATGCTTGTGGATTTGAAACAATGGTGGTTTTTGTTGTTGTTTTATTTGTTTATGGATTTATTTATTTTTTTGCTTATTAGCCAAAAAGAGGTGACAAGGGGCAACTGGCATGGAACACATGTATAAACATGACTATAATAGTTCGAACTCGTTGGAATAGTCCTCCAGAGAGGCCCAGACGGTGAGCCTACATGCATTCCCAAAGACAACTAGAATTATAGTTCGATCTCAGTCCCACCAAACTGTTAAAAGCAAGTCAAACAGTTTATACCTTGTGATTGAACCTGCATGAACATTACCGAAAGGTCCATTACGGATGCTATCTTGCCAGTAAACCACTTTAGTTATAGATGGTTTGAATTGAGACAAACCGTCAAATTACCGCCATGGATTAAATTGCTGGTCATCGGGTGTTATTACGTGCCTAACTTAGACAAAAAGATGTATGTGTCAAGCAACTGGTAGCTAGGTGTGCCTAAACCATATATGATGTCGATGCCAAACTTTTGTTCTGAAATGTCGGTATCACTATGTTTTAATAGTTTTATCTCTTTTTATGTGGAAAACTGACATTTGGGTCTATCACGTGATAGAAAACATTAGCTCTATTTAGTGTTTGATATATGTCTCAAATAAATTTCAAGTTGTGCTCAAACGTAGAGGTCAGACAAGGAGGTCAGATAAACTCTCAGATCTAAAGAGCCC